AGAAAAGGACCTAGGGGTGCTGGTTGACAGCCAGCTGAACATGAGCCAGCAGTGTGCCCAGGTGGCCAAGAAGGCCAACAGTATCCTGGCCTGTATCAGAAACAGTGTGGCCAGCAGGAGTAGGGAAGTGATCGTGCCCCTGTACTCGGCACTGGTGAGGCCGCACCTTAAATACTGTGTTCAGTTTTGGGCCCCTCACTACAAGAAGGATGTTGAGGTGCTGGAGCGTGTCCAGAGAAGGGCAACAAAGCTGGTGAGGGGTCTGGAGCACAAGTCTTATGGGGAGCGGCTGAGGGAACTGGGGTTGTTTAGCCTGGAGAAGAGGAGGCTGAGGGGAGACCGTACCCCTCTCTACAACTACCTGAAAGGAAGGGTATTGGTCTCTTCTCCCAAGTAACAAGTGATAGGATGAGAGGAAATGGCCTCAAATTGTGCCAGGGGAGGTTTAGACTAGATATTAAGAAAAATTTCTTTACTGAGTGGTCAAGCATTGGAACAGGCTGCCCAGGGAGGTGGTGGAGTCACCATCACTGGAAGTGTTCAAAAAAAACATGTAGACATGGCACTTTTGGACATGGTTTAGTGGGCATGGTGGTGGTGGGTTGACGGTTGGACTTGATGATCTTAGAGGTCTTTTCCAACCTTAATGATTCTATGAAAGCCATGACAAATAGGGCTAGATGGAAATTCTGCTCTAACACCAGAATGCTGTGATCCATTCAGGTCTTCGTAATCCTCTTGGACCCATAATAAAAATTTCTCCCACAACAAAGAAGAGTAAGTAAAACAACACTATTATTTCAAAACTTTTTGTGCAGATCAATACACAGACAAGTAGACAATGAAAAGATTTATTTTTTACTCTTCAGATACTTGAAGTTTCAACCACATTATGATGAAAAAGAAAGCTGTGCACAAACAGCCATACCACTCACCAATTCATTTTCCATGTGTTTAAATTCCATGACTGACAAATGATTACATCTCAGAACAGCTTTTTTGTGTTTTCTAAAAATTGCTTGTTACAAAACCATTCTCCTAATTCCAGAGATTTAGCAATTTTGCTGTTTTACATGGAGGTGCCAAACAGAAAGTACTGAATTTGATTTGGAAAGTTCATTTTAAGCTAAATTAGTACCTAAAGCAGCAGAGCATTTTATGGAATAATCAAGCACACATATCAGCAGTTTGTGGAATCAGTTTCTTCTTTCAGCAACAAGAAAATTTCGAAGAAATCGGTAAATTTGTCACTGATCCTGTTTCAAGTCTTTGCCTACAAGCATTGAAGTGACTGGGTGCATAGAGGCTCTATGCTCCAGAAATGTCTTGACAGCCAGATCTCGAGACTTGTCAAAACTGTAAAGGTCCCTGTAAAAGAAAAAAAAAAAAGCATTATTACAAAAATCTATGAAAATAGTACAATGGGGATTTTTGTCAAGGTTTTACTTTTCCCTTGAAAGCCTCACATTAAGGTGCATACTGGCAGACTAAGCTTTCTTCTATTAAAAAAAAGTCAGCAAGTAAAAAGTGACTCTGAAGACAAGCTTGTTCACAGTATACAGAAAATCCTGTATTATATCACTCTGAAGCATAACATAAACACATGTACAATGTCAAGTATTATACCTTCCGTTATACTAAAAATGCCAACAACATAAGCTCCTACAATTTGAACATTACTTTTACCTGAACAAGG